AGGTGAGAAGATCGTAAATCTGTGGGTGTTTGTCGTGGCTTTGAACTAATACTATTATAGTGGATTTTATTCCTGGCTTGGATACCCCAGATGTAGGTGATGTTGCACCGAATTGGGTTAACAATTGACTGTGTTATTATTTACTTTCAAGCTCTTAATTTTTTTGCTTAAGTGTTGTTTGTTGTCTTGATCCCAGTGTCCTGACATTTGTCTTGACATCTGGTATTTGTGTGCCATAATTTCAATTGGCATCAGAGCAGGTCACCTTGTTCTGTTTTGGGTGAGCTCCAAGGAAATATCCTTTCTGGAATAATGGACAAGGAAGTAGGAGGGAATATGAATAGACCTCCCATCTTGAATGGAACCAACTTTTACTATTGGAAGAAACACATGGTGGCCTTCTTAAAATCCATGGATAGAAAAGCTTGAAAGCTATCATCATGGGTTGGGAACATCCTGTGATTGAAGATGAAGATGTGAAGGAAACTCTGAAGCCTGAAGAGGATTGGACTGAGGAAGACGATGAGAATGCTCTTGGAAATTCCAAAGCCTTGAATGTCTATTTAATGGAGTTGAAAAAAACATGTTTAGATTAATAAACACATGAATTGTAGTCAAGAATGCTTGGGAAATTCTCAAGATAACTCATGAAGGTACATCTAAGGAGAATTTGTGGTATCAGTTGACTATCACAAACGTTTTACCAAGTGATCAAAACTCATCCTTCTTGTCTAAGGATGACAAACACCTTATATATTTCCTCATTTTAAGGGTATAAGTTAATCCACCTTTTACTATCTTTAACTATCTGAAAGATAAAATCTTGACCTCTCGTGAGGGTGAGTTTTCCCACATTCCTTTTGGGAGAGTTCTCTCTGAAATGTTTGTTAAAAAAGGGATAGTTAAGGAAGTACAAATGGCAGGTCTAACAGAAGCACTTAATACCTCATAGTGAAAGAAGTTGGGAGGTGTTGAAGGCTTGGGGACTCAGAAGAAGAGGATGACAATTCCTGTATCTTTTGTTCTTTGGTGTTTCTTCTTGTTGTTTGGTATCTCTATGTCCTTATTTAATTTCTTGATCATTTTATGATTCTTTTTTATGACGACAAAGGCTGAGAAGAGCAATGATTTTGGTCATTTTTATTCAATTGATAATTTCCTAAACATTCTTATTCTAAAGAGTGTGTTAATATTAACATTCTGAAGTAGTCAAGAACAATGATCTGAAGAATTTAATATTACAAGTCTGAAGAAAAAGTTATTTATCAAGAGTTTCTTGGAATCAAAATTCTATGTCTAGTACTCAGATGGAGCTTGTAAACCTCACTTGGTACTTAGAGATGAAGAATTTTGATAGTCTAAATACTTAGAGGAGGCTTACAAACCTTACTCTAAATTATATCATATTTATTTGATTCAAGATTTTATTCAAACCAAAATTATTTTGAATCTTAAACTCAGGGGGGACTTGCAAACCTCACTCTCTAGATTTAAGTTAAATAAATAATTATGAAAGTATAAAACTCAAGGAAATCTTACAAACTTATCTTTGACGTTATGTTTATCTGAATTGAAATTTCACTGAAACCAAAATTATTTTGAATCTTAAACTCAGGGGGAGCTTGCAAACCTCACTCATTAGATTTGAGTTGAAGAATAATTTTGAAAGTATTAAACTCATGGGGAGATTGCGAACCTAACTCTAACTTTTTATAAATTTGATTACCAAAGTAAAAATTATTCATCAAAACACAATTGTTTGTCATCATAAAAAATGGCCAGATTTTAAGAACAAGTTTGGCTTTGTATCTACATACCCTTAAGTTTTGATGATAACCAAGAGTAGAAGAACACTTTTATGCACTAACTATTTTTTTAAGTGTGCATAAACTCAATGTCTAAAACATAATCTAAATGAAGAGAGAAAATGCTGATTGAAGCTAATTCTGATCAAGTAACTTCTAATGCTAAGTCTGGAGTTAACTTTGATAGTTGAAGACTCTGAAGAAGTCAACTACGATAGTCAACTCAGAAGAAAGAAAAGTCTAATGGAAATTAAACTTCAAATTAAAGAAAAGTCTGAAGCAATGTCTGAACGACATCAAATTATAAAAGCCATAATCTGAAGAAAGTTATACCATTGAAGAAGATTTCTTTATGAAGATAGACTATAATCTATACTCAAACTTAAATCCACTTACATAAGAAGCCTTTGACTAGAAGATTTGAATCAAAAGGTCAATATTATTTGATGTGACAGAAGTACAAAAGTGAATCTACTTTCAAAGCAAAGAAGCTTCTCACGTCCCATCATCACCTACTCTCTATGACAAGCGTCACTCTATTGTTGCATATGAAGTGAACTCCATACAACAAAGACTTTGAGTTATCTCCTATATATTTCGAGGAAGAAGAATATGGAAGGTAAGAAAAAGAAAAAGAAGTGGATGCATGCTTGTGTGTGGAAGGATACGTGTGTAAGTCTTCACAGACGCCAAAGCTACAAACACCACAACACAACAAAGAGAGAAACACTTAGAAAATTTATTTTATATCATTTTAAGTGTATTCATTTGATCTCCATCTTGTGTGTTATTAGCTTATGAAGAAGTAAACTCTGTTATTAGCTTAAGAAAACGACCAGATTGATTAGGCTCTTGAAAAGTCAATGACGGGTAGTAATTTAGGTTTAAATTTTCTTAAGAGATCCGGTAATCAGGATCTTAAGAAATCATTAACCATCATGGTTTCTTAAGCGACCGAGTAGGTCAGGCTCTTAAGCAATCAGTGACATGTTGTCATTGCATTTGTAATCAATTTTAATTATTGGGTTACGTTCTTTTCTAAGACAAAATCACTTAGGTGAGTGTAATGGATGTAGTTTAGTTAACGGTGAACCAGGATAAAATACTTGTGTCTTTTATCATTGTTCTGATTGTTGTTGTTTCTATTCTTGTGTTTGTTTTGGGATAGAAAAAGTTCTCATACTAGAATCCCAATTCAACCCCCTTCTTGTGTTTCTTTCTCCTCAATTGGTATCAGAGCACCGGTTCTATTATTGACTAAGTTATGTAAAACACTTAACCGTGTCAAAAAAAGATCCATTTTTTGAAACACATTATGGCAACACCAACAATAATGATAAAAAGATCATTAGTCCACCACATGCGCACACCCTGCAGACGATGATGATGATGATGATGATGTTGATTTGAAATAAGATGAATGATCAACAGAGAAATGATCAAGTAAAGCGTTGATTGTATGTGGCATTGACGGTATGTTGCCTGTCGAAATTGATATGCCTACATAGATGCACTCTCAATTCAATAAATAAAAAAATGAGGTAGGGTTTTAGTGTGCAGCTGACCTAATTAACAAAACCCGTGAAGTCGTCCATATCAAAAAATTTGCTACCGAGTAGAGGGCTTCTAGATGGTACAACTCCAAGGTGGTCCTAAGGGAAATGCAGGAGAGTGACAGGATGCTCATGTAAGTTATCTTACCCCCCCCCCCCCCCCCTTCACTTGGAGAAACTACAACCTAATTAGAAAGGATTAGAAAGGTTCATATTGCATATGTCAAAATTTATCTCATGGATCTTACAAAATTAAAGAGCTAGATGGAAGACTCATCCTTAGGGCGTGGAACTCAGTTAAGCTGAGATATCATTAAAATTGGTCGTTGATTATCTCTGTAAGACGAGAAGCATCTGCCAATGTATAAAATTCTTTAAAACTGTTTTTGATAGCGCTTTTCCATAAAATGAAGAAATTTCTAGAAGGGTCCATCGTTAAATTTGATAAATAATTTAATGATGGATTCTCAAGAAGGAATCCTTGCCGTCCTTAAAGGCTATATAAATGTTGAATTCAAAGAGGAACATTTGTCATCCTTAAAGGCAATTTGAAGTTTGGATTCTCAAAAATGAATTCTTGTCACCGTTAAAGGCTATATAAATGTTAGATGCTCAAAGATGAATTCTTGTTGCCCTTAGAGGCAATATATACGTTGGATCTTTTTTGAAAAATCCTTGCCATCCAAGGGGTCACTACTAAAAATTATGAAGTTTTGTCAACTCTCTCACAATTGACCTTCTTTTCAGATGATAAAACACACCACGACATCAACTTAAAGTTCCGTCTTAGGTATTCAACTTAAAATCTTGTCTTAGAAACTCAATTTAAATTTTCGCCTGAACAATTTAACTTAAAGTCTTGTCTGAGAATTTTAACTTAAAATCTCGCTTGAAAAACTCAACATAAAGTGACGAGAAAGTTTATTGCTTGAAGATATTTTAACATAAGACACTTGAAATGTTATCAAAAGGATATGTACATGATTGACACTTGTGCTTATAATATTGTTGTTATTCACATACAACTATTTTGTCATTATTATTCACATATAATATTGTCATCATCTACAATACTTGTTCAACTTCAATTATTTTGAACATTAGTCAAGAGTAAACCATATAAAAGAGACGTCTTCCTCTTATACTCTATCATATTTTTCAGTAATAATCAGATACTCACTTTTTCTACATTTGCATCACTTGCTAATCACATTAATTTAATTAACTAAATTATTAATCAACTCAGTGTTCCTTTCCTTCTTACCTTCCTAGGCAAGTATTGTTTCCAAAGTTGCACACAACATGGTTTTGATTTTCATACGTAAAAAGGATTGTGGTTACTTTGTTAAAAGATAGTCAATTTACCACCGGGCTACACTTTTGTGCCAGAATACAGCTGTTAATAGTAAATCCAATCACTCTATTTTCTTGAGAGTTACTGTCTAAAGAAAAAATTTAGAGTTTAAGTTTAGTTGTATCATATTGATTAAGAATGTACTTGTACAAAGAAAATGTAAAAGAATAGTTGCAAGCCTCATAGTATAATCTACACTATACATCATACTGCTTTTACAAAACAAAAGGTAAAGACAAATTCAAAAACCTTTTAGATTATCTTTTTATCAAACATAGTACAGAAAACTTAGATGATGACACAGCTATTAGGATCCTCTTCAACGCTAACCGCGCCGTAATAAGGACTGTATTGTGGTTTCATTTGATGATTGTAATAGGCATGTGTTCCATAGAATATGAAAGGATCAATCACGATTTCTTTTGTTGAATCTTTCTTATCATCTTCCTTCTTTTTAGGTTCTTCTTTCTTTTCCTCTTTAGCTGGTCCAACCGAGATGATTTCAGCATGACAAAACTTTCTTAGCTTAGCCACTACTTTTACTGGATCAATATCTCCTATTAATGTTAGTTTCTTGTCTTTCATGTCCATTGAAACTGATTCAATCCCTGCAATAATATTACAAATAAAATCTCAGTATATATATCACTAAAACAATTCAATTCAATTGAGTTTAACTTCATGAAACGAAAAAAAAAAAAAAACCTTAGTTGGAGTCAATTAAATACCTGAAAGGCCAGAAACTGCTTTCATAGCTTTTTGCTTGATTTTGTCGTCATGTATCTCCAACTTTAACACTACTTTCTGTCACACAAAAATTAACTAGTTGTTATTAATAAGAAAAGAAGATTCACCAATTATGTTATAGCTATGACGAAGAAAATAAAAGAGTGGTTTTAATCACTAACCATCATTGTTATGGAAGCCTAGGATATGTGAGATGAGAGGTGTAAGGTAGAATAGAACAACTCTTGAAATTGAAATGAAGTTATGAAGTGAAGACATAATTGTTTGAGGCTTTTTATAGTAACGAAGGAAGAGTTGTTGATACAGAGGCAAGTCAACCCAAACGAGTCAAGACAAATAGTGTGTGGCTTTCTACGAAAGTTAAGCAGCAGATATAAAGGACCTTTTCCAATCTTTTCCCTTTCCAATATAACGTTCCTTCATGGAACACTGGATCCTACATAAACCAAATTCATGTGTGAAATTTATTATTTTAGATATGACCGGTTCTATGGTGGACCTAAACTAGACTGATGTTTACGAAAAGTATTTATATATATGGTCAGTCATTAAGCAAGTACATCCGACCCCTACTATTTGAGGGTGGTTGTGGCTGCATGGTCGGCGGTAGATTGAGGGTGGTTGTGGCTGCATGGTCGGCGGTAGAGCTCCTGCCAACACCCACCGCCACTTGCTATCATCACTATTATTAATAATTGACTTAAATAGTCCATTGATCTGTTATTTATTTTTCTCTCTATATTTTTTTAGTATTAAAATACTTTTAGCTTTAATTTTAAAATAAGATCTGTAAAAGATTTATAGAGATTTTCCTACAAACTTTAATTTAAGTTAATTTAATAATAAATTTTATCAAAAAATACAGATATAAAAACTTTAAATACAGATCAAATAATTATTTAAGCCTTAATTTATTAAAAAGTTTCAATAATATGTATAATAATAAAGTGTTTATAAAACATTCTCCAACTAAAAGGTTTTTTAAAATTTTAATATTCATCAATTTAGAAGTTAAAGTTGAGATAAGAATTTTATGGTTATAAGCTCAATAAATGTACAACAAAAAACAATTTTTAAGTTCGGTTGGATTAAAGATGACAATTTGACTCATCTCTAGTGGTACCTATAAAATTATCTATAATAGGTAGAATAAAAATTCATAAAAATAGATATGGACACAGATTCAAATAATTACTCACTTAAATAAGCAGAGATAAATGCGGGTATGAGTACCCTAATACCTACTCCGTCTCATATCCGCACAATATATATTTATATATTTTAATTTATATTATTATATAAAAATAAAAGCTTATAAAATTTTTAAAAAAACTTCAATTTTAAACTATTACATATTTAATATAAGTGATAAATTATTTCATAATTCAACAATAATTTTTTTTTTAATTTTAAAATAATATGATGTTTTATACTTGATATATTTATTTTTATTAAAAATGCAGCTAATGGATACGGGTACGGGAACGTACATACCCATAGGGTATGGGTATGTGTGCCAATGTTGATACTTAATAAGGTATGGACTTGGATACGAAGATTTTTTCCAACTACGAGTATGGAGACGGATACTATAGTACTCTACCAAAATTCTACCCATTACCATCCTTAAGTTGAATACATGTTCTTTTCTTTTCAACCTTTTTTTTATCGAATCGATTATGAACAGGTTGAACGAGAAGTAAATGCTCCAAGAAATATGTTTCTAGAGTGACCTTTTATAGTTTTTATTTGAATTACTGAAAAATTTCCCTCACAATATTCTTGGAGAAGAATGATAAGGACAAAATATATTATATCAAAATAAATAAGTATATTGAAAGTGTATTGGAAGGTGTATTAGATGTTTTGAATGTTAGTGTGTGAAACACTTTTAATGAAGATAGAAAGAATGAGAAAAATTGAAAATGAGGATTAAAATTATTGAATCATGATTATGTTATAAACTGAGTTATAAAATATGTTTATTTATATACAACTGACTTGTATATTAAGTAATAAACCCTAACTATAATTAATTTTGTCTTGGGTTATACAACTTGGATTATATCACAACATATTCTCCTATAATCTGAGTTGTCAAACATATGCTAATCATAGTCGACCTGAACTATTCCTAATTTTTTTTTCAAATTCAGGAATCTATCAATCTTCAATCCTTTAGTAAAAATATCGGCCAACTGTGCTTCATTTGAGCATCACCTTACTTCAAGTTCACCTTGATTTACCTTCTCCCTTAAGAAGTGAAATCTAGCTTAGATGTGCTTACTCCTTCTACACAAAACTAGATTATTCGCAAGATTTAAGACTGGCTTGTTGTCGATCTGCAACACCAGAGATTTTTTCACTTCGATCTCAAACTCTTCCAATGCAGATATGATCCAAAATGCTTGACACGTAGCATAGGATCCTACTATATATTCAACCTCACACGATGATAATGCCACCATAGGTTGCTTTCTCGAGCACCACGAGACTGAGGCACCAAATACTTGAAAGAAATAACCAGTTGTGCTTCTTCGATCTTCCTTATCTCCATACCAATTAGCATATGTATAGCCAGTAACCATAGTTTATTTGCTTTTAGAGTATCAGCAAAATAGAATTCCATAGTTTATCGATCTTTTTAAGTATCTCAAGATTCTTTTTGCAACCTTCATGTGTAACACCCTTGGTTCACTCATGTATCTTCTCGCTAATCTAACTAAGAAATTTATATCAGGTCGACTGTTGCACATATGTCTAAAAGATCCGACAATTTATTTAAAAAAAGTTGCATTGAGTTTGTCTTCCTCTCCATGCTTCTCCAACTTCAAATTTAGTTCGATAGGCGAAGATGCAGGAGTCGAATCATCCATCCTGAATCGGTTTAGTATCTCTTTAATATACTTTCTTTGATGTAACAATATACCTTGCTTCAGCATTTGAAATTCCATGCATAGGAAATAAGATAAGTTTTCCAGATCCGACATTTCAAATTCCTTCTTCATCATCTTTTTGAACTTCGACAAGTTCTTCAAGCTATTTTTAGTTACCAGCAAGTCATCGACATATAAGCAGATGATTGTTATCTTGTGCTATGACATATGCATAAACACCATACTTAGACTTATATTTGGTGAATCCTAATTCGACTAAGTATGAGTTGATATTCTTGTTCCATGCCATAGGTTCCTGCTTGAGGCTATATAGCGCCTTACACAACTTGTATACTTTCCTTGCTTCCTCCTGTATCATAAACCCGGGAGGTTGTGTGACATAGACTTCTTCGTCTAAGGGACCATTCAAAAATGTTGATTTCACATCTTAGTTAAATGTCGACCATCCTTGCTTACATGCCAAGGCTACTACCAATCTGATAGTCTCCAATCTTGTGACAAATGCATATAATTTAGAGTAGTTGAGTTTCTCTCTCTGAAGAAATCATCAAGCTACCAATCTTTCCTTATGCCTTATTATCGACCCATCAACATTGTGCTTCAGCTTGAACACCTGCTTCACTTTGATTACATGTAACTCTTCGACCATAGCAGACTTCCACTACATATTCTTAAAAGCCTCATAATGGTTGATTGTTTCAGCACCTGCAAGTAAAGTAAAATGAACTAATTCTTCATCTGGTGTGACTTCATCGTTACTAGTCACTTTGTAGCCTTGAAGTCTTGTTGGACGAACTTTAGTTCTTTGAGGTCTTTGGCTTGTGCTAGACACAACCTCTCGATTATATTTTTTATAATTTGACTCTATTATCATCTTCGACTTCAACTATTGCTGGAGTATTAGCAACTGCTTCAACTTCGACTTGATTAGTTTCTTCTTCGACGCCATAAGTCATCAAAGGCTTGTTAATTGCATCACCGAAATTCCATTCCCAAGTAGAATTTTCATCAATAAAAATATCTCGACTTATCACGATCTTCTCATTAATTGGATTGAATAACCTGTAAGCTTCAGTCTTATGATATCCTTTCAGAATCATAGAGTCATTCCTATCATCAAGTTTCCTTCTATTAGCATCAGGAATATGCTTGTAAAAAAATAGAGCCAAACACCTCCATATGACTCACTGATAGTTGTTTGCAACTCCACGCTTCGTCTAGAACCTTGTTCTTCAGATTCTTGGTAAGACACCTGTTTAGAATGTAAACAGAAGTGGAAACAACTTCACCCCATAAGGACTTTGGCCAATTCTTCTTCTTCAGCATGCACCCTGCCATGTCCAATATGGTCATGTTTCTTTTTTCTGTTATTCCATTATGTTGGGGCGTGTAAGGAGAAATTACCACATGATCAATATCATATTCTACAAAGAATTTTTCAAACATGTTTATTGTATATTTGCCACTTACATCTGTTCGCAGTACCTTTATCATCTTTTCACTATGGTTTTCAACAAGTATTTTGAATCTCTTAAAGATTGCAAATACTTTGTCCTTTCACTTGATCACATAGATCCAAAGCTTTCGACTATAATTATTGACAAATGATACAAAATACTTGTTTCCACCAATGGTATGATCCTAAAACAGGCCACATACACCTGAAGGTACACCTGAAAGATTTCTGGATTGCTTTGCTACTAAGCAACCTTAACAGAGTTTTTTGGGCATCTCAAGACTTGGTATATCAAATACCATATCTTGAGTAATTAGTTGATTGAGTGATAAAAATTTCAAATGCCCAAACCTCAAATGCCACAACCAACTATGCTTGTGATCGACAACAGTTTTTAGACATTGTACTTCAATCGAATTGATCTTGGTCTTAAATTTTCTATTCTTCGACAAAGGAGATTTTAAGACTAAATTATTCTGAGTGTCAAACAGTTCTAAGGCTCCATCTTTCATAATCACTGAGAAATATTTTTCAACCAGTTGTCCAACACTTAGCAGATTCCACCTTATTCAAGGTACATAGAGTATATCTTTGATCATAACTTTTCCTTTATTACTCCTTTGAATAACTATGTTGCCAGTATCTTCTTCTTGCCAATTCCTTTAAATAACTAACCACACTTTTCGACCAGTCGTGCAATTTGAACAGCCTGAGTCAAGGAACTAGATCTTGGAGTCGACATGGTCATCTTCAACTTGAGCCATAACCACCATAGCTTCATAATCATATGAATCTTGGTGTGCAAGGTTTGCTC